TTATTCCGGTGTGTGTTTTTCTTTCATTATTTATCTGAGACTTAAAATATAGCTACTGTATCTTAAGTCCAAGGCATCAAAAGAAACCATTTTTCTTAATTTGATAGAAAAAATGCCTGTTATATTGCAAAATTAGTCTCTTTTGTTTCTATTTTTATATGTTGTTTGTATATTTGTTACAATTATAATAAAACAGACTTTGTTCAATTTGACAACTGTTTTGTATGTTGCAAAGAAAATACATTTAATATTATTATTTTTACCAAGCCCACCAAAGTTCATAATGAACAATGTCTTTCGTCCGCCCATTCATCTATGATAAAATCCAATTTACCATTGAAAAGTTTAAAAGGATATCTGTTCATCAGATGTCTACTAGTTCATCGTCACTTGCTGCATTTTTTTGCTTGGACGCCATTTGATGCTTTGCATCAATACTTTTCTTGTTTAACACGATATACCATTTGGCGCGAAAAATAAAATCGATTTGGCTTATTTACATGTGGATTTAATATTTCCTACAATGATTAGTTGTTGATATTTGTAGAAAGTGAGTAGCATTATTGGTGAAAAAGAAAATGTACATGCTTTGATATTTTTTATCATCTAATATTACTGACTACAGTAGTGACACAAACAGAACAATGTTGTACTACTGTCATGTCACATTACATTTACAAATCTTGTTAGTCTAGTTTGTATTGGAATTAACTTTCTTACCAGGTAGGCATCAGTGAAAGCATTTTTTTTAAATTTAATATCTGGCCCCTCTTTCGTGGATAGTGCATACGATTAGTATAATTATGTAAATTTAAATGATTTACAAAACATCCGGAATAATGTACACTAGTCCTTAATCTAAATAGAAAATGACTTGTGCGCAAAAATGTTTTGTTTGGTAAAGTATCTGTAATGAGCGCAAGTATTTGCGCGGAGCTTCTAAATTGCAGCATTGCAGCAACATTTGTACTTGTATGTATATAGTAAAGACTTGAACATCTTCTTCCCTGAATTGACAAAGGCTAAAGGTTAGATATTTGGCATGAGACTTTGCGCAGTAAACCTCTACCATAATTATTCAAATTATAGCCATGGGGTCAAAATTGGCCCCATCCCGGTGGTCATTGATTTTCACTTTGTACAGATAGTAAACAATTAAAACATTTTCTTGTCGCTTAGAGCTTTGATGTTTGCTATATAATATCATCTATAGGTCCTCTAACAAAGTGGGTCAAATTTTGTCCCTGGTGTCAAAATTGGCCCTTCCCGGGGCATTGATTTTCATTATGTACACATAGTAAAAACAGAAACTAAAACAAATGTTTTCTGAATTGGAGAAAGCTACAGCTAAGATATTTGAAACATTGTTAGGTGGACCTGTATCAAGATTGTTTGAATTTAACCCTTAGGTAAAAATTTTGCCCAAGGGGACAGTGACCTACTTTCTTGTCCTTGGATGTACTGTCATGAAATTTGGACCATGTCTACAGTTTTAGTTGTAAAATTAAACTTTGATATTAGCTGACCTAGAATTTGATGACGTGACTTGCTTTCTTGTCCTTTGATGTACAGCTATGAAATTTGAACTATGCGCACAGATTAAGATGTAACTTTAAAAGTGAACTTTGATCAGCTGACCTAGATTTTGACAAAGCTTCTTACTGTGTTGTCCTTTGATGTACAGTCCACGTTGAATATGACCTTCACCACCAAATTCACTAAGTTCAACTACATTGATAGATTCCTACTCTGATCTTTTATTTGAACAACAATAGTTTTAAACACTAATCTAATAATAAGAATTAGATAGGTCAGGGATATATGCAATATCTTCAATTGTATAGATCAAAAACAATTCTGTTCAGGACTAAACTACTATTTAGTGTTGTATCAATGCGGTGGCATAGCATTTTTCACAAATGCAATCTTGTTTACAATTGTGGCATAGGTAAGTGTACCCAAGTCTCAAACCTCTAACTTCTGAGCAAATGTCAAGTGATCTATGACATTTATCACATCTCTCAAACTTTATCATAGAGAGATATGGGCACTTGTTCCTGTCTTGTGGCCAGAAGAGGTGACCATAGTTATGTAAATTAATTTACTTACCACTTGCGGGTTTTTGTCATAAAGTACCATCAGTAATTTGGCAAACAATTTAACTATGTGAGACCACTTTTCACCAATGAAAGTCACGTGAACTGTGGTTGGGAGAATAGCCAAATTGCAGCCGAACAGTCAATATGATTTTTAATTTTAAAACAGATTACAAAATTGTCGACTTTTTGGGATTTAGGAAAACAGGTAGAAATCTTTGTATCAACATAAATGTTATTTCTACTTACCTTTCTAACTTCCATTTTGGAAAATAACTTTTGCAGTGTTTACATTACGATACAAACATCAAAAAGTTACGTGACCGGGACCACGTGAGCGCTCAAAACTTATTTTTACCGGGAAACTGTGAAACCACAAAAATACTCCTCCCACGAAAATACCCGACATTGGTAATCATAAGAGAAGTTTACGGATTCCTTTCATCGAATATTCTTTAATATGTATGTCGACATAGCCAGCCGGCATATATTTCTAATGAATTCATGTCACTCAATATAGAAAGAATACTGAAATATAATCTACTTTCAGTATAAGGCAGACCTAAAACTTAATCCAGCATTAGGCAGGCATATATCACTATTTTTAAAACATCAATATTTCATTGTGTTTTAATGAAATTTACATTGAAAACTACTAAACATTAAACAGTTGTGAGATAGGAATGCTGATTCCATGATCTGAAATATATATATTTTTAAGGTTTGCCTACGTTTTTCATAATGACGGGATACAACTTAGGCAGACCAAGATACATATTTTAATGACAGAATAAAGCTAAGGCAGACGACAATATCTATTCATGACTGATTACACCTTAGGCAGACCAAAACATATATGTATGACAAAATACAGCTTAGGTAGATCACATTATATATTATCTTAATTATACAAGTTGCTGAGAATATAGCCTTACTGAGATCAATATAGCCTGAGGTGTCAGCCGAGGGTGATATATATCTAAGGAAGTCTATATTATCCTATATATCCCAAGGGTAACTTGTATTACAATTACATAACAATGCCAATTCTTAATAATGACAATTCACATTCAAGAATGTTAAAAACGCTATTTAACACAATACTGAGTTTCTAGTGTTCCCTGTTCGATGACTCATCGCACACCTTGCGATGATGCATTGGATGGGGTTGTTCATTGAACGCCTCCTTTCCGTGTTGATCTTGTTTATCATATTTTATTGTTTGTATGATTCAGTTCCTTATTCAGATTTCACAATTATATTTTTGAAAAGGCTATCCGGCTAGCTTATAAAACATAGATGGTTCTTCCCAGGTTTGTGGTTGAAATAATGTAGAGGGGCACCTGAGGTCTACCAGTGAAACTAGAACTTCCTGTCTAGTCATGTAAATTTAAAATGCAGATTTAAATTGAAATATCTATATTATCGTCATGGACCTTTTAAGTGAAAGTATTTTTAAACAAATTTTTAACATTTATTCTCTACTGAGGGTTTTCTGGTCCATCGAAAACATTGATGCCATGTTAAGAATTGAGTACCGCTCGAGGCGGTGCTAAGGGGGTGTGGGGATGTTGCACTTATTCATAATCCCTCATGTAAAGACTAATCAAACATAGCCTGCAATTTTCATGTAATTTTGTTGTGATTATTGCTTCCAAGGGATCACATTGTTTTCAGATGTTTATACTTCACGACAGCAGGTGTCAAGTGTTGTGTGGCAGCTGTAAAAAGTTGTCAATACTTTACTTAAGTGTTATATTTTTCTAGTCTTTCGGGATCATTGACTCCAGCACTTTTAGGTGTTGAGAATTGAGTACCGCTTATGCCGGTGCTAGGGGACGTGAGGGACTTATTCATTATCCCTCATGTACAGACTCAATCAAACCGAGTCTGCATTTTTATGTAATTTTGTTGTGATTAATGCTTCCGAGGGATCACTTTTGTTTCCAGATGTCGAGGGATCACTTTGTTTCCAAATGTTTATACTTCACAACAGCAGATGTCAAGTGCCGTGTGGCAGTTGTAAAAAGTTGCCCCTTAATTCACTTCAGTGTTGTTATATTTTTATGGTCGTTCGAGATCACTGATGCCAGCACTATTAAGTGTTTTGAATTGAGTACCGCTCAAGCCGGTGCTAGGGGGCGTGAGGAGTGTTGCACTTATTCATTATCCCTCATGTACAGACTCAATCAAACCGAGTCTGCAATTTTCATGTGATTTTGTTGTGATTAATGCTTCCGAGTGATCACTTTGTTTTCAGATGTTTATCCAATCTCATTCCCATTTTATTGTACATAGTGAAAGATTTTCAAGATAAATCAGGAACGTTCCCGTCAATAAGGTAATTTTCCGGCTGCAACAATATGAATTAACCCATCTAATGTTTTTTTCGGTCACTATAATTAACTAGGAACAATTTCAGGTTAGAATTATGGTACCCTGAAATAAATACAGTGTGGTGAGATAGTATATATATAACACGATAACAGGCACTAACAATACAGGGCAATGGTCAATGTCATTTTCTTTTAACAAAACAAAACCAGTTCAACTGCTTAAAAATAGATTTATACTGATTCTCTATTACACCATAAAAATTTATTCCACTTTATCTATCTATAAGTAGAAACAAAAGCAAAGATGAAAGTACGCTGAGTACATGTATTAAATAACAAGAGCCATCAGTTATCACATGTGTCGCCTCATGATGGCCAATTTTATGTTTGGACAAGTTTTGTGACAGACGGACAGGCAGACGGACAGTGCACAACTAGACTTGGTAAACCCGTGCAATATGCGCAAGGACTTGAGCTACAGATCACTCCTGTAAAGTTTCTATTAGTGGTATAAGAGAAGTAGTCCGGATAAACTTTAAAAATAAAAATTATTAAATGGCCATAATGTAATAGGGGTGGTTCGGCGCAGTATAAATATAACTATCCGAGCCCCTAAGGGTCAAATGAGTTCGGGATTATTAAAATCAAATCAACAAACAGCTGTAAAGTTCTATCTTGTTTATATACAGATCCAATCAAGTAGATTCTGTAGGTACAAACCAACAACACTCTGAAATAAGTATATAACAATATGTAAATATAAAGTAAAATAAAGTAGAAACAATGCATTAATTATTATCATATCTTACATAATCAATTACATGTCTAGTGGCCAATTCAGTTCTTTAAACTCAGCAACAGTCCTTAAATCTAATATCATAGCTTATGGAATTATACACACAATTAACATATTTTATCTTTTAAACAATACACAATACATCACACATGTAACTTACCATCTGAGGGATGAGTGTAGTACATCAATCTTATTATTACCTCTCTGACTATCACACCAGTGACTGTTAACTGCAAGGTTAAATATTAATAGTGAATAAAAGATGAAAGGTGATTTGATAGATACATGTCATTCTGAAACTCATACTTATTTACAAATTTCACAATCAATGGACTGATCCAAAATACAACAGAATCACAATAATGCAATTCTACATATTTACAATAAGCATTTAGCAGCAGTCAGGATAAATACATACCAACTTAGGAAATAAAGAACTTGACCACAAACACTTATTTTTCTAACCTTTCCTTTACAACATAACAAAGACACAATGACTTTTCCCACCAAGAAATCACATGACATAAAAATAACTTAAAACCAACGATCCGTGAACCAATCATTTGAATTCTTAGAATACTGACCAATGTAAACACAAGATAAAATCAGTTAAAACCAATAGAGTAATCTCCCTTGAAAAGTATCAGACAAGACCGGCGGATTTGTCTCCCTTTGCTACATTATAAAATCCAACAGTAAAGCAAGAGTATTGTCCCTTAGACCTGATCCTAAAAATAAGACCCTGTTACATACTTCCCTGGTCTGAAAAAATGACGTCCCGTCATTGGTCATAAATGTCTTCAGTCTTCAGTCTGGTCTTTCTTTTAAATTTACAAACAATTATAAACATACAAAGAAAGTTTTTATCTCGAAAATATCTGTCAGTGTGTTACACAATAATTGTTACATTACAATTACCTTTCTATTTTACAAATGTATAGTTACATATACATTATAACATTATTGTCATAAGCATTTAATATCTAAAATAATCAGATATTAAGTGACATTCATTACATTAATGTTAACTTGTTGACATAACATTATATAGCATTTAATATCTGAAATAATCAGATATTAAGTGACATTCAATACTTTTTAAGTTTATTTGTTTGTATATTTATTTATATTATAGTTAATCATGCTTCATGTTTAACTATTATATATCTCTCCTCCCCTCTTTTTTATAATGAAGACATTATATACATTAAAACAATGGTTTTCATTTTAAAATACATAAAATCAGAATTAAATGTTATAACATTTCAATACAATGAAGTAATACAACAATTCAATTCAAATCATTTCATGATGGCTTCTAGTAGTTTATGAGCAACGGCTGTGTCCACTTGATTTAAAATACCGGATTTCATCAAAACATCCACAGCTTGTATTTTAGAATCATATGGTCTTGGTACCACAGCATTCATGTAGTAGTCTTCATATTTTGATGGAGGCTTCTTATCTCTAGTAGACCTTCTTGGTGCTGGTTTAGGTGCTGCAGGTACCTCTGGTGTACATTCTGCACCTTTATTTTGATTTGTCTGTACTGTGACTAAATCTGTCTCGTCTGTTGTTACATCTGTCTCGTCTGTTGTTATATGTGTCTCTCCTGTGTCTACTATATGTGTCTCTCCTGTGTCTACTACATGTGTCTCTCCTGTGTCTACTATATGTGTCTCTCCTGTGTTTGTTACATGTGTCTCTTCTGTGTTTGTTATATGTGTCTCTTCTGTTGTAATATCTGTGTCTTCCGTTGTTATATACATCTCCTCTATTGTTTTCTCTATCCCTTCTGCTTTATCTGTCTCCACAATGTTTGTTCCTGTATCCATATTTGTATTCACTGAATCTGTCATAGCGATGTCTTCTTCCTGTCCAAGCTCATGAGCAATATCTTCCTCATTCATTTCTATGTCGTCATCAATAATAACTGTTTCGTCATCATTTATATCTGACTCCGGTTGAACATGTTCATGAATTTCATCTTGATTTATTATTTCAATTTGTTCACTGTTCTCATTATGAACACTATTTCCGCTTGATTCAATACTATTACTTCCTTCACTGTTTCCACTTGTTCCACTTGCTCCACTTGTTTCACTTTCTCCACTTGCTCCACTTGCTCCAGAGACATGCTTTACAGTAGGAAAATGGGCGTCCCCACTATCATTTGTATGTAATACAAATTCTTCTTCCTCTGCTTCATTCTCCGAATCATTTCCGACGTCGGCTTTCTCTTTTCTCTCTTTCTTTTCTCTTATAACTCTATTTTTGTCTCCTTTCTCTTGTATGTATTGCTCTCTATGATCTTCTTTCTCTTGTGTGTATTCCTCTGTGTCAGCATCATCTGTTATTTTCCTATAATTAACAGGATGTAAATGATTTCTGTGCAGAGTTTTTTCCTTCTTGGACTTTACTGATCGTAACTTGAATACAGGGACATCTGGTATTGGTTGGTCAATAACTTCATAGACTTCTTCTTCAAATTTGTCAGCTATTTTATGCTTCCCTTCATATCTTAAAATTTTAACTAAGACTGTGTCGCCAATGTTGATTCTTGCTGCTTTAGCTTTGATGTCGTACTGTTCTTTTTGTTTAGCTCTAGCTTTGTCATTGAATTCTTTTACTATTTCTCTTGTTGATGCCATTCTTGTCTTTAAATCTTCTATGTATTCGTTTACACTTTTTGTTGTTTCTTCTTCTTCTGTCACTTGTTCAAACATAGAGTCTATTGGAAGCTTAGGTTTTCTACCAAACATGAGTTCAAATGGTGAAACGTTTGTAGACTCATGTGGTGTACTATTGTATGCGTATACTAGTGATGGTACATATTTCTTCCAGTCCTGCTTCTGAGATGCATTGAGTGTTCCTAGCATGTTGAGTAGTGATCTATTAAATCGCTCAGGCGTGGAATTTCCCATAGGATGATATATGGTGGTGCGACTTTTCTTTGTGTTTAGTAGATGACAGAGTTCTTGAATAATATCTGACTCAAAATTTGCTCCTTGGTCTGAGTGTAATCTGGTCGGAATACCATAATGGACGATGAAATGGTTGAATAAAGTTTCAGCTGTTGTTTTTGCTGTCTGGTTACGAGTTGGAATGGCTAAGGCATATTTGGTGAAGTGATCTGTTATTACTAAGATGTTTGATATTCCTCCTTTTGATTCTTCCAGAGTTAAAAAGTCCATGCACACTAATTCAAGAGGATAAGTTGTCGTCACATTTACTAATGGTGCTCTGTCATTTGTCTTACTTTTCCTCCATATACATCTCTCACATTTGCTGATATATTCTTCCGTATCTGTGAACATGCCTGGCCAAAAATATCTTTCTCGAAGAAGTCTAAGAGTTCTATCTCTGCCAGGATGACCAACATCTGTATGAAGACCTTGAAGTATTTCTTTTCTGTACTTTTCTGGTATAACAAGCTGTTCTCTTTCTGTATCTCCATCAATTGTTTTCCTGTATAGTACACCTCTTTTCATTGTAAAATTCTTAAAATATCTTTTCATGATTATGTCTTCTTTGGATAAGGTTTTTGGAATTCTTTGATCTAAGTAGGCACGTCTCCATCTATCTATGAGGATATCTTCTCTTTGACTCTTTCTTAGTTCTCTTAATTCCACTTGTGCTATAGGTTGTGTTAAGTCTTCAGTGGCTTCAAGAATGTTTAAATTTTCACAAGGGATTGTCTCAATGTATGGTGTATATTATTTCAAAAAAGTTGACATTTTATGGTTACTTATCAATAATTGATACTGACAAATGTTTAGATCAAAATATATAAAAGCTGCATGCCTCCTGGGACATAAGATATTGTTTTTGCATTTCAAGATATCAACTATATAGCTTTATACCGTGAAATGAAAAGTTGGTATGCAACGACTGTTAGTGAAATATTTTGTATTCCAATTATGTTTATATTTGTACAGCTAATATTCATAAGATGAAATAAATATTTAAAAAAAATTGTAATGTGTAATATATTGATAGAGTGTTTTTTTATTAACTAGGTAGTCCTTCATGCTGCCTAGCCTTTTAATAAAAGTGTAAAAGACTTTTAATAAGTCAGTGGTTCAGTATAAAAAATCACAGATATTGTCCACTGGTCTGATGCATATATATATCCATACAAAAATGTCAAATGACAAATGGGTCGAAGCTGGAACTCTAACCATGGGTTTGTAGGTTAATGACCAGTATGCTTACAACTTCACCACAGTGACCTTTGCAAATATGAATCTGTGTATTCATTTCATATATGAACATTGCATCTTAGTTGCTATCTTTTTTGAGTTATAATGTATAATTAAAACTGTCATTCAACAGCATTTTTGAAAAGGGTATTGTTGTGTTTAGTAAGAAAACAATCTATTCATTAAAAATGAAGATGAAAGCTGAATAAGAACATAATTACAAATATATGTGAAAAATATGTTAAACATCAAAAGGTTTTCTAAGGCCATTATACAAACAAACATTAATAAAACAATGGTCAGATATTTCATTGAACCAGAAATTATAAAATGTTATATCATGTTTATAGCAGCTGTACACTTTAATTACATAATTAATAAGCCGTCCCAATACAAAATAATTTGTATGTTTATTGACAAATTTGACATAATTATATCATATAATTAATATAAATTAAAGTCAGAAAAAAACATAATATAATTGAAGTTAATTCTGAACGTATTTTAATTACAAAATGTAAATTTTCTATCATAATAGTATATATATAGTATCATGCCAATAATTTTCTGTATTTGTTTAATATTTATTCATATTTTAAAAATTGATCAAATGAAAAAGTATTTAAAAAACGGTAAATTTACCCATAACCTTTAAAAAAAATGGTCACCTCCCGAAATCACCGGAAAATTTATGTACGGAATATATCCGATCAATCCGGCATGTACCGTAATTATGGCATTTAAACACGGCGCTTATCGATCGATCGATTCCAATTGGACACCAACATTGGCACTGATAAGAAAGCGCGAGTTGCAAGTCACCTTATCTTATGTCCCAGATGCCTCAAGATTCATTCTGATTTTCATGACATTTTTTAAGCAAGATATTGCCGAGTGAACATAGAAAGTAATTTACATATTGCAAACCACACAAGTAACCAACGTATAAATTTCCAGGTAACAATATGAAAAATTTCCCATACTGTCACACAGTAGAAATACGGTGATAAATATTGCGAAAAAAAGTCATTTATTACATATACAGTAATATGCAAATTATTAATGGCATTGAGATTATTCTACTGTTCGTAAACTCTAAGAATATTTTTTCATGGTTACGTTTTGGTGATACAATTTTGCTAATTTAAAGACTTACAGCTTTAAAACAGACAAAAATCTAAAAAGATTACTCCACTTTTAATGAGCATTATGAATGCATTGTATTCAACCATAACAATTAACATTAATAACATTACAACCATAACAGATACATGATTGGTTACAGGCAAGCTCAGCTTTCAGAGTTTCACAATTATTAGCGTAATTTCTAAATGGTTGTACTTTTTAAAAAAGATTAGTTAGAATTTACTGTTTTTGTTTTATAGGAAAGCACAAGCAAAGGTTATATTGTCGTATTCAAGCCTGTTTTAATAATTGAAACATCTGGTCTTTAATTTGAATAACAGTAGATTAAATCACAAACGTTGCTACAAATAGTTTATGGTCATGTTCCACTTCTACTATAAATACTCCAGTTATTTTTGTGTCGCCTCTGCGGAGTAGTGGCGACATATAGGGATCACTTCTCCGTCGTCTGTCTGTCCCTCTGTCTGTCCGTCCGTCTGTTCGCCCGTCACAAAACTTGTCCGGACTACTCCTCATAAACTACTGGTGCAATTTCATCCAAACTTTACAGGAATGATCAGTACCAAGTCTAGTTGTGCATATTGTCAGCATTTTCCGGTTCAATGATTTTTGTCAGAGTTTTGCCCTTTAATAATTTTTTATTTTTAAAGTTTGTCCGGACTACTTCTCTTATACCACTAATGCAATTTCAATGAAACTTTACAGGAGTGATCTGTAGATCAAGTCCTTGTGCACATTGCACGGGTTTTCCGGTTGAATGATTTTTGGCCGAGTTATGGCCCTTTGATAAAAATGTTTTTTTCTGTGTGTTGCCAGATACACAAAAGCTTGTCCGGACTACTCCTCATAAACTACTGGTGCAATTTCATCCAAACTTTACAGGAATGATCAGTACCAAGTCTAGTTGTGCATTTGTCAGCATTTTCCGGTTCAATGATTTTTGTCACAGTTATTGTAACAGGGTCTTATTTTTAGGATCAGGTCCAAGGGACAATACTCTTGCTTTACTGTTGGATTTTATAATGTAGCAAAGGGAGACAAATCCGCCGGTCTTGTCTGATACTTTTCAAGGGAGATTACTCTATAGGTTTTAACTGATTTTATCTTGTGTTTACATTGGTCAGTATTCTAAGAATTCAAATGATTGGTTCACGGATCGTTGGTTTTAAGTTATTTTTATGTCATGTGATTTCTTGGTGGGAAAAGTCATTGTGTCTTTGTTATGTTGTAAAGGAAAGGTTAGAAAAATAAGTGTTTGTGGTCAAGTTCTTTATTTCCTAAGTTGGTATGTATTTATCCTGACTGCTGCTAAATGCTTATTGTAAATATGTAGAATTGCATTATTGTGATTCTGTTGTATTTTGGATCAGTCCATTGATTGTGAAATTTGTAAATAAGTATGAGTTTCAGAATGACATGTATCTATCAAATCACCTTTCATCTTTTATTCACTATTAATATTTAACCTTGCAGTTAACAGTCACTGGTGTGATAGTCAGAGAGGTAATAATAAGATTGATGTACTACACTCATCCCTCAGATGGTAAGTTACATGTGTGATGTATTGTGTATTGTTTAAAAGATAAAATATGTTAATTGTGTGTATAATTCCATAAGCTATGATATTAGATTTAAGGACTGTTGCTGAGTTTAAAGAACTGAATTGGCCACTAGACATGTAATTGATTATGTAAGATATGATAATAATTAATGCATTGTTTCTACTTTATTTTACTTTATATTTACATATTGTTATATACTTATTTCAGAGTGTTGTTGGTTTGTACCTACAGAATCTACTTGATTGGATCTGTATATAAACAAGATAGAACTTTACAGCTGTTTGTTGATTTGATTTTAATAATCCCGAACTCATTTGACCCTTAGGGGCTCGGATAGTTATATTTATACTGCGCCGAACCACCCCTATTACATCTGGCGCCCAACGGGGTCAGGATATTTGAAGTGGTGAACTATCTTTCGTAAGTTTTATTCATTTTAAATTTGATTCCTTGTTGAGAAACTGTGATTTGAATAGGAAAATTCTTGCATATTCCACATTTTGTTTGTGTAATTGAATTGAGCCATTTCGTGTTGTAAAGGAAACCCCGCCATTTCGTTGACCCTGGAATTTGATTGGTGGATATTTTTGATGTGGTGACGTATACAACCATGTGACTCTAGTCATATATGCAAATTACTTTGGTGATCCCCTGTTTCCTGTATTTTTATTGGCTTATGTATTTGACCTCAGTGACGTAGACAACACATGACTTACTGAATGTAACCTTTTATGCAAATTGATCAGCTGTTTGGAACAGTGTAGTACAAATGTAGGTCATTGAGTATACATGTAAAACAGGTGTTTGAGACAACTTTATGATTTAATTTGGTAAACTATTGAGTTATTTTGTTGTCAATTGATAAAATAATTATACAAAAGGATAATTATATAAATAAATAAAGGTTATTTCAAGTTTGGAATTTGAAGCCAAGGTTGAAATTAAATTAAATAAGTTGTTTACACTTTCAACTTATACAAGTTGATAGGGTTTTATAAAATTACAGAACTGGAATAACTTGGTGTTGAATTAATAAGAATAAAATTAAAATAATATAATAATATATTAACATTTAATAAATATCTTTATTGATTTAAATAAGGATATTTTTAATTTAAAATAGACTTTGATTCTAAATAACAAAAGTTATTTTGAAAATTAATATACATACATGTAAACTATATAGGTCAAACTTGATAGTTCAAGTTAACTTAAAGCCAAATAAGTTCAAGTTAAGTTAAAATAAAATTTTGACTTTACTTTTAAACTATTATGGTAATAGCACATAGTTTGTGGTTCATATAAATAATAAATTAATTAAATATGAATTAATTTATTATAATTTGTACTTTGTGTAATAAAAATAATAGTTCAAGTTATTTGATAAGATAATACAATAACTTGAAATTAAATAGTTATAACTTGTTATAAAGAGAAAACAGTGATATCATATGAAGAGAGATTCTAGAAAGCATTTCTTTTCATTTTAAATATTTAAAATCATATTAAAACAATTACTGTCGTTCGATTTGCGCAAATATTTCGATATACATGTACATGTTTCGATGCGTTATAGAGCTCTGACGTGAATTTCGGTCGTTTTATTTTTGAAATATGTGTTGAATAAACATAGAAAACTTTGTGTATAGCTTTGTATAAGATAAAGCTTGGAAGTTGTTGAAATAAGTTGAAAGTCAAAGGAATAGATATTAGTGAAATGCAGTGAAATAGACACAGTTGAAAGTCAGTGAAATAAGCACAGTTGAAAGTCAGTGAAAGACATTGTTAA